AACATAAAAAGAGCTCCCTAATAACAATGAATAACATAAAAAGAGCTACCTAATAACAATGAATACATAAAAAAGAGCTCCCTAACACTAATGAGACCAGATGAAGACCTACACGGTGCGCTCTTTGATCACAGTGCTGATGTTGTTCAGGTCGTCTCCAAACCGCCGAACCGCCAGACGAAGCATCTCGATCTCCGTCTCCGTCCACTTAGCTCTGAGGACCAACACACACATTAATACACACACAAGCAGAGTACGTGTGTTTGTGTGTCTGCGTATGTGTGTGTGTGTGTGTGTGTGTGTGTGTGTCTGTCACCCTGCAGGGCTGGAGTCAGACACTGGGTGCAGCTGCATGGTCAACTCTCCTAACTTGGTGAAAGCAACTCCTGCTGCTGAGAAGATCTCCCCGACCTGAAGAAGACAAAGTACTCAGAGCCTTTACTGCAGTACAAATACCAATACTTATGAGATGTAGTACAGTATAAAGTACAACATGTACCTCTGAGATGTAGTACAGTATAAAGTACAACATGTACCTCTGAGATGTAGTACAGTATGAAGTAGAAGAATATGGGAACACTCCAGTTACTCAAGTACCTCAAATCGAGTACTAAGTAAAAGTACGTAACAACATTCCACCACTGATTCAGTGTAACATTAAAGATGAGATGATGATGTCATCAGACTGTGAGCACATAAATACATATTAGTAAATATCATTATCGTATCTGTGAGGGTCTCCATGAAGAACCTGATCCACCAAACAGCGCTTTTAATAAATATCAGGAGGAGGTTTCCCACCAGCTGGCTCGTACAAGTATTCAGTAAAGTCTGTGTTTCTATGTTAACAGTACATGTTTGGTGCATTAACTATATGCCGAATGTTTCACTAATGTGTTTAATTAGGAGGTGCATTAAGTTAAAGTACTTTTCATGAAGTTTGTTCGTGCGGAGAGCAAATCTGTAAAATGTCCATATTTCTGAATAGTTTGGTTTACAGCCGCGAGACTGTGCAGCTTAGATTCTGTCTGTAGCACTGTCCGTTCTGTTCTAGATATATATATATATATATATATATATATATATATAGATATAGAGAGAGAGAGAGAGAGAGAGAGATATATGTATAACCAGGTAAGGACTCACCTTAGCAGAGGCTGACGTCATATCGGTGGAGGGGTTGCAGCTCTTTTCTTTAAACTTCTTCTTCTTCTTCTTCTTCTTCTTCTTCTTCTTCTTCAGTCAAAAACAACAACACGAGAACACGCAGCTAGCTGCTAGCTACAGTTAGCTCCTGTAACGTTAGCGCGCTTCCATAGAGACCTCGAGCTGTGGGAGAAACACATCCGGTCAGGTTCATTGATCGGAATCAATACGGAGTGACTTCTATATTACAGATACAAAATAATATATAAATATCGTAGAACAAAGACAGACGGGATATAAAGGGAATGTTTGCGCGACTTTGGAGGTTGAACGCCATTGGTCAATCTCAGAGGAAAAGGGCGGGGCGAGTTGAACTGAACGCCATTGGTCAGTCTTTCTTCTTCTTCCTTTTTGAGGTTTAATGGCGGTTGGCAAACAATCAATTAGTGCATTACCGCCACCAGCTGGTCTGGAGTGTGGACCAGGATGTCTGGTTAGTACTTATGGTATAAAAATAAATAATAATAAATAAATAAATAGATAATTTAAAAAAAATATATAATAATATATATACAATATATATGTATTATTTATGATATATATGTATATATAATAATATATATATGGATATTATTTAACTGTCATAAAGTCATGATGTTACACACTCCGATCCAGTAGGTGGCGGTAATGCACCTTAAACGTTGATTTGTAGTCCGCCAATAAACTGAAAGAGGAAAAGGAAGAAGAAGAAGATGAAAAGGAAGAAGAAGAAGAAGAAGAGGATCAGCTGATAAGAGTTGTGCGGTTTTTCATTGGTGAGTCTCAGAGGAAAAGGGCGGGGCGTATCGAACTGAGCGCGTCTTTTCATTGGTCGCTGCGCCGCGGGGTCACGAGCGTTGTCGACTTTCTCCGAGTGAACCCGAGCGATGAGGATCAGCTGACCGAGAGGCTCTAGTCGGAACATTCCTCGTTTCAGTGAAACAAACGAACATAAAGAACAAATCTTCTGACTGATCGATTAACCGAACACTGACATGCCGTCGCTTCTGTTCTGCGGGCCGAAGATGGCCGCGTGCGGGATAGTGATCAGCATCTGGGGGGTCATCATGCTGGTAAGAAATATGGAGGGGGACCGACTGTTTCCTGGAGTCATACTGATTAGCGGATGCTTTTTATTGTAAATGAACGTCGACTGTTTTACAGTCCAGGTTTTTATTACGTCATCTACCTGAGTGGGCTCGCGAGACATCATCCATCCGTCGCACAGTAATCCTTCAACGTAAATTATATTCCAGTAAATAGACGGCGCCCACGTAGGCCCAAGCTAAATGTACATTTTATAATAATATAATATAATATCACTGTTCTGATAATCAATCAATAATCAGTTGTGGATCGATCAGTGATCTCGTGCTGATCACCTGTCTGTAATGAGCGGTGTGGAGGTGGCTAATGTCTGGGCTGTCACTCAAATGAATGACTCCTCTGAGGATGAGACGTTAGTCTTAAACATTAATATTATTATTAATGTTTCCGTGTAGTTCGGTTCCTGAATGTCTTTAGTAAACGGAGACATTATTTGTGATGTTACTGAAGTTATTGATCTTAAATATTGATTATTTGATCAGCTGATTACACGAATGTTTAAAGTATATTCAGTCTTCTTCTGATTCGTCCTCCACCACGTTAAGGTTTATTAAAGTGTTTTAATATAATAATTGAGGAACTGAAGAGGTAGAAGTGTTTTAAATGAGTCATGTGACTCATGTGATGCTTCAGAACAGGAAGTCAGTTTTTCCACCAACAGAATAAATAAACCGGATGTTGGTGAATATATTTAGGCAGTAATAAGGATTCATGTATCTGTTTTATTTGATTATAATTTAAACGTGTATACAACTTACCTTTTAATTCTGCATCTCTGTTGTACAATGATACATTAATGAACCGTTTAACCTCTTTAGTCTCATTAATTCTTCTATTTCAACATAAGTATCTCTTCTGAAACCAAACGTTTTGTTTGGTTTAACTAAAGTTCAACAATAACTAAAGTTCAACAACAAACAAACAATAAACAATAAGTGAGAAAAGCTACAACCAGAGGACGGGTTTGTCTTCAACTGACTGACGTGGTTAATTATGATTTATTATAAAGATATGTCTTCTTCGCTTTGGATTTTGAATAAATGTAATAAAAACGACACGTTGATACTGTGAGCTACAGACTCCAACACATCCTGCGGCCCTCCTGAGGGCCCCGGGCCTCATGTTGGGCCTCTTGAGGGCCTCGGGCCTCTTGAGGGCCTCATGTTGGGCCTCATGTTGGGCCCCATGTTGGGCCCCGGGCCTCATGTTGGGCCTCTTGAGGGCCCCGGGCCTCATGTTGGGCCCCTCTGTTCTGACCTGCTGTGTCTCTTCTTCTAGGCGATGTTGGGAATCTTCTTCAGCGCCAAGTCGGCCGTGCTGATCGAGGACGTCCCGTTCACTGAGGAGGACATTCGTAACGAGTGAGTCGCTGTGAACAGAACGGCACTGATTACAATACTATATATATATATATAGTAGTGTGTGTGTGTATATCTATCTATCTATCTATCTATCTATCTATCTATCTATCTATCTATCTATCTATCTATCTATCTATCTATCTATAGAGAGAGAGAGAGAGAGAGAGAGAGAGAGAGAGAGAGATTTTGATTATCTGGTGAATAATTACGTTAAATATGAATATGTTGTTCTGCAGTAAGAACCCTCCTCAGAACATCTACGGTCTCTACAACCAGGTCGGCATCAACTGCTTCATCGCCGCCGGCATCTACGTGGCCGTGGGCGCCGTGTCGCTCTGCCAGGTCCGACTCAACAAGCGGCAGGAGTACATGGTCACATAGACCCGCCCCCCCATGTCACACCACTTCCTGTACGACCGACCAATTGGCCGTCTGTTAGATCTGGTTGGTTGAGATTAAAGAAGTGAAGTCAGAATAATTTATTTTACAGTTAAACCTTTGATGTTTGTTGTTTGTGTGAACGTTACATTCCTTCTGCTCGTCACATTCATTTTGTTTCATGACTAGATTCTATTTAACGAGGAAACAAATATGAATGAGTTCATGCTCCATGAAAGCAGACGTTGGTCTGAGTCGGTCTTCTGCTGTCTTCAGAATAAATCTAAATGTGTTCTTTGATGTTGATGCTGCTGTGGATCAAACGGAAAAGTCTTTATTGTGACAAGTTCTGGTGGGAAATCCTTTGCAATAAAGTGTGTGTGTAAAAACAACAATGAGTTTATCGTCTTATTAGAATTTAGAAATGTGTCTTTATTTGCATGATGATTGGTTTAGATGTTAATAAAGATGTTTACACTAAACAGGAGTTGATGTTGAATCAGGAAGACGTTTTATACGACTTCACTTCTGTATTTTTATCACCTGAAACTAACAATCGTGTTTTTGTTATCTTAGAATGAGTTCTTCATGTCTACATAGGGAGGTGGTCCTCTTCAGTCCATGTTTCCTACAGAAGCCCAGAATGGACAAACCAAACACCGACTCTAGACGGAAAGCTCCATGTGTTAAAGCTGCATTCTCTCTAGTGTCCACCAGGGGGCGACTCCTCTGGTTGTATAGAAGTCTATGAGAAAATGACTCTACTTCTCTCTTGATTTATTACCTCAGTAAACATTGTAAACATGAGTTTATGGTCTCAATCTCTAGTTTCAAGTCTTCTTCAATACAGCATGATGTTCATTTAGTACATTATGGTCCATTTAGAGTCAAACAGACCATAAAGCAGGGGATGCTTTAGGGCGGGGCTACACGGTGATTGACAGGGACATATATGCCCGTAGTCTGAAGAACGGGAGTTCTAATATTGTAATTTTCGTACATGCTTTTTCATCATTAAACTCACTTCTTACACATTTTGAATCAACTACATAGATTTTGAATATTGGCAGATTTACAAAAAAGTGATGGAGACTTCATTTTAGATCCATCAAACACACTTGTAATAAGTATTATTGTGATTAGTCTACATTATCACTATTATATAGATTTTAATATTTTTTATATTCCATTTATGCCAATAAATCCACCTTAATGCTCCACGCTGCTCCTTTAAATGTAGGACTTTTACTGGTGGGCGGGACAGAGCGGGCTAAACCATTGTTCACTGGGGGGGGGGGGGGCTGTGTGAGGTTAAAACTGGGTGTTTTCAGGATAAACAGGCACAGTTGGAATAAAATGAAAATATTTGATGTTGAACAATCTCTCTCCAATTATTGTTTAAGCATTTATCCTCGATCAACAGGGAGGCAGATTTGTGAAGCATTATTTAACTTGGTATCTCCCACCAAGTTCAAAAAGAGCTCTTCCCGCCACTGAGAGCAGCAACACGGTAAAACACAAAGCGGTTCAGCTGTAATAAAGAAGCACACAGTGAGTATTATATCTACATAAAGACTTTATTTATAATCCCGTCTCATAAATGAATCAGCTGTGAGATCGTCAATCACATGAACTACTAAACAAACCGACTTCCTGCTTCAAACGGTGAAGAGTCGGAGATACACTCTTACGACTCATATTTACTCATTCTGCTCTACACTGTACAGCTCTCTCATCCCAAAGCACTGCTATGTTGTACATATTTACTAACTCGTAGTATCTTCTATTATACTTTTACTGTACTTGCTCTATTCTCCTGCAGTACTTTGTCGTCTGTATATTTCATTGTACGCACCAAACGACAGCTCAAATTCCTTGTATGTGAACAACCTTGTTGGCAGATCCTTTTATTCTGCTGAGTTGTATTTACTCTCTCTGTGTGTCAGAGATGTCTGATCATTCAGAGGAAGCGTGGACATCAGCTCTGACCACCATGCTGGAGGATCTGGAGGAGAAGCAGTACAAGAAGATGCTGGAGTGTTTGGTTAAAATCCCCCGTAGTAAAAGGTACGACACACCCAAAGAACAGATGCCTGCAATAATCATCCAGTTCTACGGACTACCGGGCTCCATCTCTGCCATCCATGACGTGATGGCTAAGATACCCAGGAACGACCCCAAAATGCAGAACCTGCTGCGCCCCCACGTGGAAAAACTGAGGCAAGAACAGGAGAAAGACAAGCAGGGTGAGTTCACAGGCGTGGAGTATGAAATGATTTCCCCACTATGATCATGATGAAACAACTTACCTGAGTTAAACAACGGCAACAAATGGACTCCATCTGAGGCTGTCGTAGGAGAAATCAGTCTGCGAAGGAGCGACGTAGAACTGAACCATCTGTGTTTGGGTTTGATTTGTTTTTCAGAGAAGAGGAAATGTGAGGAAGAGGAGGATGGCGTGTTGACAGGTGTGACCCAAAATCAGTTTGACATCCAGAGTAATCTGTTCTAATTATTATCATGAAAGAAAACTCTGCTGTTATTTCACCAGTGATGATAAAATAGTTCTAACTATAAACCTGATCCAGCCTCATTCATTGTGAATTTAAGTTTTTATTTATGTATTTGAACTGGCGCTCGGTGTCTTCAGGTCGTTATTCAAACAGGAGATCGTTTATCAGTTGAAAGTCTGATTAATGAAATAAGATCAGTGACTAAACTCTGGCTGTTTGTTTCTCCTCTTAAAGATCAACGGAAGAGCTGCCAACCCGACAACGTAAGAAAATACTTCCAATCCATCATTCAAATGTGTCAACAGTAAGACGTTGGAAGATATAAAGTAAGCATGTTAAACATTGATGTGTTCCAGGAGAGAGGCGCTCCATGGGTAAGTGCTGTTTCTTTCAATTTCATTTCACGGCTCTCAACGTTTTACACTCGTTAGTATTTATGTTTCTTTCACCGAGTTTCTTTTTCTCCTTTTTTATGCAGAAGAAATCCATCCGTGATCTGAAATCCAGCACGATCCTTGAGAGGGAGGGCTTTGTTGGGAAAGTTGTTCAGAAATCTGGGCTGCGTCCGTATCAGAACAAAGACAAAGCCAGAAAGTGTTTCTTTTATCTGGCAGTCGTTGATGAGACGGCCAGCGCTAAAGTGAAAGTATACGGAAAAGATCGCTATGAAGAACTCAAGGAGGAGAGCTCCTACTTGTTCTCTAGAAGCCTAATCAAAGAAGATGATGTCATTATGGTTACCACGTTGAGCAAAGTGTCCCAGACGAGAGCCGTTGACGTCCCAGAGGAGCTCGAGATGGAAGCTACGAGGCTGATTTATCCAGAGGGTACAGTTTACTCCATTGAAGAAGCCAAAATATCTGCCGACAAGACCAAAGTGAGCGTCGGAGGAACCGTAACAGAGGTGAGTTTAAAGTGAAGGATTTACTCTCTGTCTACTCACTATCAAAGTGTTGGAACAGTGAAACGCTCAGTTTGATATTTACACAAGGAAGAAAAGACATCTGCCAGCTGTGATTGGTTGTTCCTCGTCACACGTTTCCAAAAGTTGAACTACTTTTATCTTGGAGTGCTCTCGCTGTAGAGAGCGATGCACTCCACTCGTCTACATCGACAACAATAGAGCGATGC